CCAGCTCTGGGAGACGCTGAGAGCCCTGGGTTAGACCTCCAAGCTCAGAGCAGAGCCAGCCATGGAGTGGGGCGGGGGAAAGTTTGGCACCCTGCAAGGGGTGGTCGAACTGGAGGGGGCGGGGCTCCCAAGGGTACTTTAGCCCTCCAAGCTCAGGGGCACAGGCTGACCAGACCTGAGGCGGTGTGAGGCCATGGACCGCGGGGCGGCCGCGGCCCAGGGCACTGCCCCGACTCAGGATGGAGAGCTACCCGCGGAATCTTCAGAGCCGCCGCCGTGGCCACCGCCGCAACCGCTGCTGCCGGCTCTTCAACCACTCCACGCGCCTTCCCCCAAGCCAACAACACAGTTATGTCGAGAGCTTACTCCAGAACCCTGTCCAGAGACGACCTCAGAACCAGCCACAGAACCAGACCCAGTACCAGTCCCAGAACCAGATATAGAACCGGCCCCCAAGCAGATCCCAGAACCAGCTACAGAACTAGACACACAGCCGATCTCAGAACCAGCCCCAGAACCGGCCACCGAGCCGGCCACAGAACCAGCCCCAGAACCTGCCTCACAGCCGACCCCGGTACCAGTCACAGAACTGGCCCCAGAGCCGGCCCCAGAACCAGCCACAGAACCAGNNNNCACAGAACCAGCCACAGAGTCCTGCCCTGAGCCGGCTCCAGAATCCTGTCCGGAGCCGAGTCCAGCACCTCATCTATTACAGTGTCCTGTGATCACTCCAGAGACGGGTCTAAAGACCTCGGCATCGCCCCGAACACCAGTGCTCTTGTCCAGTACAAAGGTAAGGAAAAGACCCCCTGGGGCAAGTGAGGCCAGTGGCTATCGAGCTCTCTGGACTCTGGGTACCTTTAACACCCCATTTGGCTTCCAACGACTAGCAAAGATGCTCAGAAAGATGCGGGGATGGGGAAGTGAGAAGCGGTTGGAAGGCGGGAAGCAACATGTGGAAGCGAAAGTGAGCTGTTTGGGGCTAGAAACTGGGTGACAGCATAGGGTGGTAATCGGAGCAGTTTTTTTTCCCAAGGGGGTAAGTGACAGTGTGGTGAGTGGCTATATCTTGAAAATGAGACTGAAGATGCTCCCAGGGAGTGCAAGAGACCTAAAGAGGTGTTTGGGGCTGGCCCAGGATACACAGGGATGGGATTGAGTGGAGGCGGTGGGACCCACCTCTTAGCGGTGGTCACTGCCGCAGAGGCCCAAGCTGCGGAGCCACAGCTGTCTTCTTGGCCCCCTCCCTGCTACTGGGGAGGGGATCCTCACCTGGGGCTTAACTAGCAGCCCTCCCGGGAGGTGCTGGACTCCTCTGTTTGCTGCTGGGTGCTGGTACTCCGGGTTGGGGATGAGGGGATGGGCGGTGCCCACGCACACTGCAGGGGAAGGACAGGGTTCCAAGGGGAGGAGGGGGAGAATGCGCGTTTGTTGAAGCCACCATTCATCTGTCTGCAGGATTTCCCAGCAGGTAGGTGCAAACACAGTAATATAGTGTGTTTGATATGGGTCCCTTCACAAGTGGGGCTACTGGCACCTGGTACCAGAGCCACTTGGAATGGTAAAGGAGCCCCAGTTTAGAGACATAAAAATAAGAGTTGCTATTTGAGAGCGTGTAAATGGGAATCCTCATCTCTTCAGTCTTTAGAGATGCCTTCATAAACCTTTCCCTTAGCTGGAAAACAGAAGTGGAGAATCCTCATCACCACCCAGGGGAGAGGGGGGGAAAAAGAAGGTTTTTGATGTTTGCCTTGGACCCCAGAAACCAGTGTCTGCTCTTCAGCCAGAGTCTGCCTTTCTTGCTTTCTCTGTGCTTCCATTACTCTTCTTTTCGCCTAAAGTTTGCTCCACCAGGCTGTGAAAATCATGATATTGCATACATACACCTTCATTTAGTTTCTCCTGCAGGAAAAACAAAACAAAACACAGAAACAAACAAATAACATACCATACCAACAATGCCCATTCTTTCTGCTGCTTAGTAGGGCGCAGAAACATGGTTCTGGAATCCTTCTGCTGTGGACTGCACACTTGTAGAATGTAAGAGGAGGAGCACAGGTTGGCATCGCAAAATAAAAATGGAAGCAATGCTGGTTGCTTTCTGAGTTATGAGCAGGAAGGCTTGAGTTTGCAAAATAATTGCAGTAATAAACTACTAGAAAAGAGAAAACCTAAAGTGAAAAGTTTCACAGGGAAAAAAATACAGAGGGTTAAAAATAAATAAAACAGGATTGTAGGAGACTAAGACAATTTTTAAAAATCCAGCAACCCTGCTCTCACCAGGAAGCGGATCTCTCTTCCCTTCCTGCAGTGGTCCTTCCCTGCAGTGATCTCCAGAAGGGAAAGGGCGGGGCACCTAGACCTGGGAGGTCACCCTAACCAGGTGCTTGCTCTTGTCTTTTTGAAAGAGGTTTCATAAAGCTGGTGAGAGGGAAACCAGTAGGGTCCACCTGGCCTGTGGCCATCTTAAGCGAGATTTTGGAAATGTGGCTGAGAAACTGACACCTGGGGACTTAATACCAGGCTGACCAGTGAATGTGTGGCCTCTTTGGCCTCCAAAAGACTGACTGGAGGCAAGAACTCCCAGGATGAGCCCTGTGACAGTGGGAAAGCATCTCTCACCAGCTTGACTGGAAAATGTCTATTGCCACACAAATAAGGAGTATCAAGGTAAAGGGAATCAGGTTAGCTTCCTCTAGTACCCACTAAGATGACTGGCCCACAGGCACTTGGCAGCCCTGGCAAGGGACCCGGACCCCCCAGAGTTTGATTTTGCCCTTGGAAGAGCTGGTCATACCTTCAGTCACTTATTTTGCGACATAAGGTTAAGAACCTTGACTACCCACTAAGGGGGTCATGTGGATGAACCCATCAGTAGCTCTAAAGGATTTTGAAAGATGAAGATTGCTTTCGCCTGAACCTTTCTCCAACGCTCTAGGTGTTGCTATGCAATTGCTCCCTGGTATAGATGGAAACATCTGATCTTCATGGATAGGACCAATATCTGTTGCATCCTCCTCAGGCAAATAGTACTCCACAACCAGCTGACTTGCATCTTAACATTCAAGGCAAACAGGTTGCCATCTTAGCTGGGGTAGCATTGTTCTCAGACATTGCCTCCTTGAGGCAAACTTGGGGGGGGGGAAATAAACACACACACACATTCAGAGATCAAAACAAAATACAGCTCTCATCGTATAATAAAATAATAAAATCCTACGTGGCAAGGCACAGTCAGTACCAGTAGCATAAACCAGCCTGATAAGTCAAAGGAGGAAATTAGCAAAACCAAGTGTTTGACTGTGACTGCAGGTTTCTCTCAGATAATTTTGTTGACTGGTAGTACAGTTAAAAAAAAAAATACCCAATATCTTCTAGGTTGTAGTCTGCTCTCTTTGGGGGTTTGAGAACCTGCTGGTTGCAAATCTATGCCAAGAGCCAGGGTAGAAACTGATAAAAGGAGGTTCATGTTTTCTTTCTGAATAGCTATCAGGATAACAGTTTGTGAACTAAACCTGTCTATTTCCTTCCTTTCTAAAATATTTTGATTTCCAGGAAATATTTTGTCTCCCACCTGGTGGCAGCAAGTGTAAGTAAGGATGTGTGAATTGGCTCTTTAACAATGCTCTAACTCTCTAGCAGGGGAGTGGGGCTTACATGACGTGGACCATATTTGTTTCTCTCAGCTATGGTTGAAGACAGTTTATATTTTTATTCATTGGATTTTGACCAGAAATTATAATTGCATCATAGAAGTGATTGATGACAATCTGAGAATACATTTTTGTGGCATATATTTCTGGGGTATACCCCTCCTAATAACTGCATGGCGATTACCATTATACTCCAAACCATAACAGAACTGTTTCCTGGTAATTTTTTTTTGCACACATTTTCTTGCAAAGTAGCAAGCATTTGTTTATATGATATCTGGTAATTTTTGCCTGAATACATTATCTTGCCTATTTCTGAGCTTCTCAAAGGTAGATACTGTGTCTCCCTCTCACTGCCTAGTACAATTCAGCCCTCTCTATTTTTGCTCAATAAACACTTGCTGAAGCTTGAAACCTATCAAATCCATTTCCAGCAACAATGCAGAGATGGCTGCTGTGAATGAATAAAAATGCACTCTCAATGATTTCAGAGTAAAAAGTAAATGCTTACTTAAATAGCCTAGAATATATAGGCCTTAAGGAAATGCAATCAATCTTTCCATTTTCAGAATGTCTTTTAGAACCATAATTAAGAAGAAAATTGCTAACAATTTAAAAAACTGTTTTGGAAATTGTCCTTATCCTCTGCAGTCCCCACAGCAGCAGATCAAGGATGATGTTGTTGGTTTCAGGGGTGATAATTTTTTTCCCTAAGCAAATAGAATACCTGCAGTGATTGTAGATTTGAATGTTCAACCTGTTGAAGATCAGAGTAAAATTACTTTCATTTCTCTTAAGTTCTTTCCCCAGTCCTTGCCAAGTTTTGATCATACCATTTTATTTATTTGGTATATTCTGGAGCTCCTGAACATTTGCTACAGGATGTTCTAGAAAAGATGAGATATTTGGTCAGTGGTCTTTCATTTCTGTGAGTACAATTCTTAATGTTTATGACTAAAGCTTCTGCAGATCTGTAGCCCAAAAAGAAGGGCTATCAAATCCATTTAATAATGCTTCCAAGGAAAGGGGGGAAATCCATAGAGGCCAGGAAACCATTCAGGGGAATTATAATAAAGATTATATAATTCCTTCTGCTAGTATGGCAATTTACAATTCACAGAATGCTTTCTTCTTCATTATTAACTCTGGTATTCCCCCAAAGAAAGCAGCAGAGTGGGAGAGGGCAAAAATAAAATTTGACACCTAAATAAGATATAACAATTTGTCAATTATGGATTTTAAAAATATTCAACATATGACTTTCTGTGACACATAAGATCTTCATTTGTCTAAAGACAATCTTTAAGTTGACATTCTATCAGTCTTGATTTTTTCCAAAGCAGTGACCGCTGTTCCCTGTCTGATGCTCCCAGAGGGGGCCATCATAAAACAGGAGCTTGAGAAGGAAGAAGAGGCACAAGACCCTGAACATATTACTCCTAAAAAAGACATTTTTGGGGGAAAGAAAATAAATAGAAATTCTGTTTGGGATAGGGTGTCCAGTCTTTAACTGACTGTAATTTCCTCAGTGGAAAAAAATAATTTTAAGTATTAAAAAAAGAAAGAATCCATTCCTAAAGGGAGATGCCCCTATCTTCAGCAAAACAAATAAACCTTATTCTCAAAATAGAAAAATAAATTTGTGAATTAAAAAAAAATAAGAGAAAGGAACAGTGACCCCAGATAATGGAACTTATTCTTCCTCTAAATTATTTTAAGGAAAAAAAAAAAAAGAAACGGAAGAATTTCTAAAGGGAGAAGATCCTCACCAAAGCCTATTAAGGTTATATCCCTCAGAGAAAAATTAAAAATGAAAAGAGCGATCACCTCAAGGTAAATAGTATTTCTAACCTTAAAAAATTCATGAAACTTACAAACTTCATTTGCACCTCACAGCCCAAATGTAATCCCTAACAAAAATTATGGAAGCAAAAGTAAATCTTCCAGGGGACTGAGGTTTCACCAACTTCACCAAAGCTCCCTAATGTTATTTCTTTTCATTATATGAAATTTCTAGGATAGACAAATCCTTAGAGACAGAAAGTAGATTAGTGGTTGCCAGGGGCGGAGGGGAGGAGAGGAGAGGAAGTGTAGGTGATAGCTAAAGGGTACAAGGCTTCATTTGGGGGTAATTAAAATG